CCCCTGTCTGTCTCTTTGTGATGTCCATGTGGCGTTGATGTAATTTGCTCAGCGCACGCCGCGCGTTCCGCGTTGACACAACTTTGAAATTTCTGTCGCGTCCGCCGGATATTCCGCGCGATACCGCGTCTCCTCCATTCGAAAACGTCGCCGCGAGCGAGTTTTCCCCGGTCGAGCAACGAAAAGCCGATTTGGTGGACATTAACAACGTGTAAAGTTTGACTTTTCCGGGGCCTCCGGACAGATTCCGACGAATCGGCAAAAATCATTTTGATTCGCGTGCCAGATCATTTTTTTTCCACCGTTCCGTAAGAGCTCGCGAAATTTCAACGGATGCAAAACAAAAACGTTTCACGATAAATTCAGCGGGCGGCATGGGAGCTCGATTATCGAGAGCGGAGGCGGAGGTGGCGGCGGCGGCAGCGACGTTCCCGTCGTATTTGTACGTGTTAGTACGGTAAATTAAACTTTATCTGATTCAATAAATGCTTTATCTCTGCTGAATTGTGGGAAACTTTCGTCGCTGCGCCGGCAACGCGATGTGCCGGAAATTAAACGGGTAAGGCGGCACTCGGAGGTGTGGAGAAGAGAAGGGATGGGAACGTGGAGGGAAGAGAGAAGAGAGAGAAGGAGAGGGAGAAAGAGAAAAAGAGAGAGGCGCGAGAAAAGTATTTCAAAGTTCTGTTTAATCGCGGCGAAAATGACGGACGTCGGAATTAACTTTTCAAAGCGCAATTTTATATACGCGAATGTCAACTGTATCGAGATAAACTACTCAACTTGTCCGATAAAATTTCTTCATTCTAACATATTTTTCGCTGCAATGGAAACGCGTCATATACGCGTTCGCAATAACGCAAACCGAGATTACCTTTTAGCACTTTAAACCGGTGGCTTTCCGCTCGATGAATGCATGCTCTTTGTAAGCGCAATTCATCATTCCTCGCATATCCCCTTTCATTCTCTCTCCCACTCAGCCGTGGAAAAGAACTCGTTTCCTTTTTCCCTCATTCCCGATGTCAACGACTAAGAACCATTAATTATTGTGATAGAAATTTAATATAGTTTTCGAACAGTTACTGAACAGATATGTTAAATTTTGTCTAATAACTGAAAAGAATAATTAAGATGTAACGCGTTCTTTGCACGCAAAAGATGTACAGAAACTGAACCCATTTACTAAGCGAAAACAAAACAGAAAATATACAATTATTCAACTGATTAATAATTAAGTCTGCTGCTTATAAAATAGAAAGACTTGTTCTAATAGTATTTCATTCTTTTTTTAGAAAAAAATATTTTATTTAACTAAAATTATAATTATTCTTGGCCATATTTTTATAGTAAATTAATGATAAAGAAAGAGAAACATGTATGCAATTATCATAACATTATAGTTATTATCGTTCACATGATAGTAGAATTTAATAAAAAATAAATTAATAAAAAATATAATAAAAAAATAAAAAAGTAATAAAAATAAAAAAATAATAAAAAATGGCTTTCTAGGCCATAATTTATAGGAAATATTTCTTTGTGTTATAGTTACAAATATCAAAAATTTTTTTCTCAGAGCATATTTTCTAATTGCAAAATTTTAATGCTAATAAGAACTATAACACAGGAAATCTTTTGTATGTGTAATATACATACGTACATATTTAATCATATTTTTTGCTTTTCACGTAATATCTTTCATAACCTTCAAATGATATTTGTCCACGAAAAAACAGTATGATTGATCCACACATAAATCTGGTTGTGTCAACCAGACTCAATAGTAAAATACGGAGCATGATTGCTGCAAGTATAAATCAAGTGCTAAGTTGCAGCGACGATAGTTGCTCCAATTAGAGTGTATTCATAATAAATGTTACCCCAACCGATTTCTGATTGTTACAGATCAAGCGCAACTACATTGATGTAGTTAATTAATGTACCAAAGTAACTGACCCATCTCAACCATACACATCAACATCACACACAGATAACTAGGACGATGCAACTATGTTGCTCAAAAGTAAATATTTCTGATTATATGCACCATAACTTTTTATCCATTCTTGCGGTACTATTTCATTAGGTTCTGGGTCTGAGCTATCGTGACAGTATTCAAATATACCATTACCATCAGAACAGTTCAGTGTGTTCTCATCTGTATTATTAACATACGCCTATTTATCCTTTGTTCACTTTCATTTTTAACCTTGACTATCATCAATACAACCAAGGTGGCATTTAGGATTTAATGTTGTGAAGTATCTTATCTTCTCCAAGTTCTTTTTCCTTGTTCCATGTTTTTCTATACATTCTCTTATTGTCTCTCCACGCAATTTCAAGTTCTTTTTATATACAATATAAATAAGTATATTTTCAATTTACTCACAATAAACATTATAACGTGCACATTGCATAATTTAATTAATATTACTAATACTATCTATGTCTTAGGGAGAATTACAGTCGACATATCGTACAATAAACTGCTTCAACCGCTGAATAAAGCTCTATCAAGCTCTTGTCCAGTTCCTACACAGCATTTTGACAACTAATGAGAATGCATTAATACTAGACAATGACTGGACGGATGTCTACGCAAACTGAACAGATTTCTACCAGAGTAGTCATTCATTCATTCATTAATATTACCCGCGAGTGGGGAGGAGGAGGGGGGGAGAGAGAAAGAGAGAGAAATGAACAGGCTCAAGCGGCTCTATGGAAAGCATCGATCGAGAGTAACGGAGGTGAAACTTCGACGCGGCTCGTTGGACTTCTCACGAAGTCGCGAGCGTGCGAGCGGAACGCGAAGTACTTCAACTCGCAGAAAAAAAATGATGGATGACCACGGCGTGCATACCTACTCGAAAATTAAAAACCACCGGCGTTGAAGGAGCGCCCTTGGACAAGAGGCAGATCCCGCTTCTCGCTTTTCTCTTTGTCTCTCTCTTTCTCTCTCTCTCTCTCTCTCTCTCTCTCTCTTGTTCTTTTGGTCGCTCGGCTGCGCGCAGATCGTTGCGTAAACGTAACGGAATGCGCACAAGTGTTTTTCAAGTGTTCCAGCATGTTGCCGGTCAGAAAGACCAAACGCTATAAAAATAGCTCGCACGCGGGGTTACTTCCCCCGCCTGATACGCGAACAAGAGTGTGCCGCGATTCGCGGGTCTTGGACTTTGTTACTCCTGCGATAATCGACGGCTCGCTACGCAATGCGCTTTGAACCTGCACTCCCTTACAATCATATGTACTTCTTAACTCTTTGCGGGAAGTTAAGCCTTCTATCTGTACTCCAAATGCTGTCTATGATTCCAAAAGAAAATCTCTCAATTAATTTCACGACTGAAATTGCGGACAAATGTCGCTGGTCACGAGAAAGATTAGATTTTTTTATAGATATATTTACCACGGGAGATCAATAATTGGGTATTCCATTGTTCTTT